AGGCTAATTGTCAACTACCTATTATCTGTTTTATGTATAATGTGTTGCACCATTCACTTCTAAACAGCCAATGAATCGAATTCAAAAAGTGGAGAGGTGGTCAGCCCAGGATATAGTATCGTAGGATGAACAGTAGATGTGTTGGCCTAGCAACTCTTTCCGCATTACAATTCCCTAGATGGAATCTGAAAAATCGTTTAAATCACTGATCCGAGATCTCATTATATATAGCTCAGAAGACAATGGATATAACAACCTTTTTCACTTTCTTTCTGAAAGTAATATCCATAATGAACTCTGGATAACTAAATCCACCTAACTTCATTTTCGCACCTCAACTATTTTATTCCCCTCTTGATTATTTTGTTAATTGTGTGACGAACATCTTAGTGCCCGATATGTGGATGATGAACAGACTGTCTGGAAAACGGGGCAGTCAGTTGTCTCATTAATAGCTAGACAGACAACCAATAAATTATCCGTTCTCACAACTATATCATTAGTCATCTAAACATACTTTGTGGATTATGGTGTCTCACTCCTGTCAATGGCCAAGTACATATATATATGGTTACAGTAAAGAATAGATACCAAAGTCAAACTAACTTGAACCGACCAATCAGATTGCTCAGCATTACAAATTATTGTTTTTCGTAATCTTAGTTGCAAGTCTCACCGTAATTAGGGTTATGGGGGTGGAGTTAAACTATCACGTCCCAGGAGTGAGAACGCTGCAATGACCTTGAACGCATGCTAGTTGTTGGACAACGGGACCCATCATTTTATAGGGATAATAACATGAACACTATTCACCAAATAAGGAGAAAATTTTACCCCGACCACGTTTTTAAGTACTGTTTGGACAATGTGTTACTAACTCGTTAGGGTTAGGAATAGTGTTAAGGTATGTAGCAGGGTTAGGGTTAGAATCAAGGTTATAATTAGAGTTAGGGTCAGGATTAAGGTTAAGATAACGATTACGGTTAGGTTTGGGTTTGGTACTGTTTATTTTAGTTTGATTTACTATCCACATTTTCCTAAAAAGTAACCGACAGTCCTCTTACTAGAAACCATAAGAATTCAATCGAGGGCTTTTGGGGAAGACTGTAAATCAGAATAAGAGCTATAAACGGGTCACAAGAAAAGCTCATCTTCAGTCACCTCGGTGAATACATGTACAGACACTGGTTTAACTTAAAAACTGATGCCCCTCATTATAACTGGGATGTGTTTTTAAGTCATGTCAGAGAAAGATACCCTGTTCAATGTATTTTCATGCACTTGCATGTAAATAGGCATCATCTTTGTGTGAAAAAAATCACTTATTCTCATGATTGATCCACTCAAGGTCACTCGTGAGTTTGCATCCCATGGGACGTGATACTTCAACTTTGACGGTTATGGTAAGATAAGATTAAGGTAGGGTTATGGTTACGGTTGGGGTGCAACTTGCAGCGATGACTATGGGTAGCATCCATTTGAAATTCTGAGCAATAATACTATCATCATTAGGCTATATTCATCATACAGCCAACCATTCATCAGAATTGATGGATCCTATAACTGCTACTCATACAGATTCTGGTTTATTTACTATATCCAATCCTTGGCGGGTCACAAAGAATATTTCCAACAGGCTATTGCAGACCTTTATTAACAACTAACTATTTTCTCTCTATGCTCAAAATCAGATGGCCGGGCTGGTAAGAATCAGGCGCAAGAACCTATGGGAACAAACAAAACAAGAACCAACCGCCAACCAAAAAATATGCAGGAGAAAGTGGAGATAGATTGGACACTGGCTGAGGAGACTGTTGGGTCACATCGCTCGTCAGGCCATCGCGAGTGGGACGTTAGTGCAAGGGTGACATGGAGGAGATCGTGTGAAGAGGAGTTGAAAGAGTATGGGGCTAACATGGATGCAGGTGAAAAGTACAGCAGAAGGAAGACAGAAGCAAATGGAGACGTCCAGTTGAAGCCCTATATTCCACTAGGAACCCAAGGGAACAATAATAATAATAATAATAATAATAATAATAATCCTATATAAACAATTGAGACCTCTTTTCGCATCATATTAGCGACATAAACCCTAAATAATTCATTTTTGTCAAACATATATCAGGCAGGCGGCAGTCTGTAGACGGCCGTAGGTCATTTGATCAGCTGATGGATACTGGCTTTATTTATTGAAAAAACCTCAAGGTTAGGTCATTTTTCGTTGTTTTACACACTTTTTTACTTATATTCCTGCTAAAAGTTATTTAAATACGGCATATTTAGCAGAAACAGCAAATGATGGTGTCCTTATCCGGCCGTAGCTTACAGCCAGTTTACAGTTAGTTGAAAATGCGTACTTTTCCGTTCAGAAAATGTCGAATTACTTGAAGACACATGTTATAACGACTTTTTGTGATTCTTTTTTGCAGTTTAATGGAGTATACATGGACATAATGAGGTGGGATAGATCGTTTTGGTAATTATTTCATTTACTTTGTTGTGTACGTTTCCTAATGCTGACAAACTGGCCAATCACAAGCGAGAAAATCGCTTGTTTATCTCAATCGCGGTCAATCAAAATTACGGCCGTCGACAGGCTGTCCAGACAAGCATACTTTTTTATGCTGTGATGGCCGCTTTTTTACCTTTGAGAACATGATTGGCTGGTTCAAGGTAGTTCTACTGTGGTATCTATTTTTTGCCGTTGGTCTGTAATCATTGTTCCTATCAGATAGAGATACTTTTTGTGCTGATTGTGGTAAGTATTCACGCAGTCAAATATCTAATTCATTCATTAAAAACAATGAATCCTACAGTTTTGTATATTGACGTCTTAATTCTATGTTCAATTACATGTGATGCATTAACATGTAGTATGCTGACTCTCTATTGATTGATTATTCCCATAAATTGACAACAACAAAGTGTATGTTTATTAATATGTGCACAGTTGATGATTCCCAAGCATGTGACTGTCACTATATATAGATTTATTAATGTGTGGGTGTCTGAGTTTGTTTGAGGACTTTAAAAAAAAAACTAAATGAATTCTATGTTCAACACTAATGCTGCACAATATACATGCGTATTATACTGGCTATCTGAAATTCAGTTATCCTAATTAATACAACACATTACTACTGTAGTTCTTGTTTGCTTATGAATAAAAATTCGGGTTAGTGCCCACATTCTGGAAAACTACTTCATGATTCAAGTGTTGGTTTGTAGGGATTTGATTGGTTACAGGATTTCATCATGAGCTGACATTAGTAAGAGAACCATTGGAAAACCTGAAGGGAGTACTGGACAGCTGTTTCGTCCTACTTTGGGAGTCCTCGTCAGTACGCACCTACCAGGATTCGAACCCAGGACCATTTGGTTACAAGGCGAGCTCGTATACTACTAAGCTACTGGGACGCGATCCAACTATAATCAACTCATGATGAAATCCTGTAACCAATCAAATCCCAACAAACCAACACTTGAATATCAATGAGATGCTCACTAGTCTGTCTGTCTGTTCTCGACATAGAACTTTGCACCGATGAGCACCAGTTCGAGTCGCCACACTCCATGTAGCACACAAAGCAACAGAAGAAGGTAGAAGAAATGCATAATAGAGACAGTAGACAGAGCTGTTAGACAAACGGAATATCAGTAACGAAGAACAAAACAGTTTCACTGGAAATCATAAGTCACAGAGAGTGGATGCATCTGCGCTAGCCATTGAGAACGATTTTGAGACATATCACCAATTGTCTCCAGTCATTGGTTTTTACCGTCCCGAGGACCCCAACCAGACGGGAAGTCTACACCTTCCTACGTGGCTGACTGGCTTAAACTAACTGTTGTGGATTTCATTGACTGATGAAGTCATGTTTTGGTTTGACCGCCACTAGCTCTTTTCCAGCCTGACCCTATGTCAGCTGACATTGTCCGTCGAGGAGGGCGATGGCTAGACATGAGTAACACATGTTCTAACCATCTCAGTCGAGATGCTCACCAGTGACTTGCCCTATTCAGATAAGTAGTTACGTGGCGTTCTGGTGAAAAGTCTTGACCAGTTGGGTGCAGCAGGTCGGCTGTGACGACAAATACTCGCCGAAGACATTGGCTAGGGGTAGCACTATGTCGTGAATTGGCAGAAGTTAGCATTCATGCACTGGCTATTGGACCGGGTCCCAGTGGTTTACGAGCTGACCTTGTAACCAGAAGGTCCCGGGGGTGCGTACTGCTGAAAAGTCCCAAACTGGGATGAAACAGCCCTCCAGTACTCGGAGGTTTTCCAATGGTTCTCTACCTGATGTCAGCTCATGATGAAATCCTGTAACTTCATGATTCAATTACAAAAACAATACACGTTTACTTCCCATCTCACTTTGTGGTGTGTTCTGGCTTGAGTAGCAGGCTAGGAAATCAGTTAGCTGTTGTACACGTTGTTGACAAAGAAGAGGTGTATTAGTGATCACCACGTCTGTACTATTGTAACGGTAGAAGACAAGGGCCAGGAAACAGCTCGTTTATTGAGAAAATCAAGAGATATTTATAGATTTTTACGTACATTATTGTCAGAGGAGAAGCAGAGTCTTGTGATTGGTTGTTTTCTTGCTGAAGGTTATTCTAAACTGCTTGTGACCGTTTCTCAGAAAATTAAGCCATATATTTGCGAATCCTATTTGCACACGTCAAGTTCGCTGTGACTGGTTGTTGAGTTTCTCATGGTTAAGCTTTGTTATCGTTTTTCACATGACCCTAATTCCGGACGTAACACTGATGTAAACTTTTGTTTACAATTTTGGCTTTTTCGCAACCAGTTCTCATCACACTATCTCAGGCATGCCCCTTCCGAATTCAGTGCTAACGTCTCACGAAGTGCCCATATGGTGCCAAAACCAGAGTCGAACATGTATATTAAACAACATAATTTTCTTATTCAGTAATATCAATAATAAAGAAATTCGACTTAATAAAATCCAAGTATATTAAACAATGTGACTTACTTTAGCCATTATTGCTGATCTAAGTAATTCTTCATTGGCGTCACAGGCTAAATACTTTTTCGGCATTGTAACCCGTAAATACTTAAGTACACCTTCAAAGTCTAGACCAAGTAAATCACGTCTAGCCAATTGTAAAAGTGCTAAGGATACCTTGAATATGAAGATCAAGCCCTAAGAGAATGTAAAACATAACAGCATAATTCTATATATATATATATATATATATATATATATATATACCAATGATATTATTGAAAAAAAGCAGTAAAGGTTTAATACAAAACAACTGAAAATATCATCATGAAAACATTTTGACAAGGCCTCAGTGTTAATGACAAAAATAGATTTTCATCTAAAAGGGATAATAAGGTATTCCTAAATAGATTTTCGTCAATCATTCGACTATGAATAGACGGGATAGTAAAGAACCTCTCATTTTCATTTAATTAGTTACATCAATCTCTTCATGAAGATCTAGTTGATTGGCTTAAGCATTTCGTTTCCAGCACATAGGTTCTGGGATTCCAACTGGACAACTGGGAGGGGGGGGTATCATCAGTCCTTCAACAATAAGTGTGAGTCATAGCCTAGCACAGGGTAAATAAATTCTTAATTCAATCTATCAATTGGCTTCTTTCAGAAGTCGTATCAGGTTTAATAAACTGGTCACCTAAGAAATATCAGTAAGGACACCAAAGGCACGTTTAGCACTTATTTGAATTACCAGCTGATTGGCTTCGATTACAATAGAAGTCAACACTGTAAGACATTGTCTGCTAAGGTAAAAGAAGTATTTTAAGAGCGCTTTTATATATTGCTACAACCCGTCCAGAAATACAAACAACAGCGCGTACACAACTGCAAGTTGACACCAATCCTCCAACGAGAGCGGAAGTCTTGAATGCGATCAAGCTTCTGAAGGCTGGAAAAGCAGCTGGACCATATGGAATACACCTTGAAGCACTAAAAGTGCACCCAGAGACTACAGCAGATATGCTGACTCCATTATTGCAAAATGTCTGTAAAGAGGGAAAGATGCCTGCTGACTGGAGAAAAGGTTACCTCGTGAAACTACCAAAGAAGGGCGACTTACGCCTCACTCTGCAGGAACTGGTGAGGAATCATGCTCCTGTTGACGCCAAGTAAAATCCTGAGTCGCATCATCCTGGAGAGAATAAAAGACGCACTGTAGACAGAAATTCGACCAGAACAAGCTGGGTTCAGGAAAGGCAAACCATGTTCTGACCAAATTGCAACTCTACGTATCATCATACCAGAACTAATCATGGAATGGCAATCAAACCTCTAACTCAACTTTATAGACTTTGAAAGGCCTTTGACAGCGTTGATCGTGAAGTAATTTGGAAACTACTCGAGTATTACAGTGTACCCAAATATTCATCAACCTCATTCAACAGCTGTACGACAACGGCATATGTCAAGTCATCCACAGCGAAAAACTCAGCGAGGCGTTTGGAGTAAACACAGGAGTCAGGCAAGGGTGCTTATTATCAACGATGAATTATATTCCTAATTGTGGTGGACTGACTGGATTATGCGTCAGACAGTTGGAAACGAGAAGACAGGAATATCCTGAACCTAGAAGATCCGGATTTCGCGTGTGGATGATTTATGTTTGATGTCAAACAAAATCGAAGACTTACAAGCGAAAACCGATAAACTGGTCGAAGAAGCAGCCGGCGAAGACAGGACTCCAGGTGAACATAGACAAGACGGAAGTTATGGAAATAACCAACCAACAACAACAGCAGCAACATCAAGCGCGAATCACCATCAACGGGAGGGATTTGAAAGAGGTTACTTCATTCACTTACTTATCTAGAGAGCATTGTCTCAACTACACGCAGTCGGAACGGACGAGGATGTCAAATTGAGCGAGAATCGCGAAGGCGAGAAACACATTCGTCAATCAACCTGAAACCAATCTGGAAATCTTCGTCACTCAGCCAGAATCAACAACAAAATTCCGTAGGATTTTCAATACAAACAACGTCAAGTCAGTCAGTTCTTCTATACGGATCAGAAACATGGCGGATGGGTCACAAAGAATATTTCCAACAGGCTGGCTACTGCACACCTTTATCGACAACTTACTGTCTTCGCTCTATACTGAAGATACGATGGCCGGGCCGGAAAGAATCACCAACAAGAAACTATGGCTGGGAACAAACAAAAGAAGAACCAATCGCCCAACAAATATGCAGGAGAAAGTGGAGATGGATTGGACACTCGCTCGCTGAGGAGGCCGCTGGGTGACATCGCGTGTCAAGCCCTCGAGTGCAACCCGAAAGGGAAGCGACGAGTGGGACGTCAGTGTAAGGGTGACATGGAGGAGATCGTGTGAAGAGGAATTGAAACAATATGGACTAGCATGGATGCAGGTGAAAAGTACATTACAAGACAGAAGGAAGTGGAGACGTGTAGTTGAAGCCCTATGTTCCACTAGGAACCCAAGGGGACTATAATAATAATAATAAGTAGATATGATACTAATTTTTCGGCGTGGTTTTGTTGTCTGATCTGGGTGAGATTTAATTATGAAGTTTACATTGTCCTGTTAGACAACATCTTCAGTGCTAACTTCAGTGTGAAGCGAGTCTTTAGAATTCTCTATGAATGATATAACCGATAATTATAACTGTGATTAGTTGTGCCTTCAACATTTTAATTATCCATTTGTTCATATGTACTGGTATCGATTGTTTCGTCAACCTGATATTTGACCTTATCATTCATGTGACTTGTTCTTCATTGATTAATAAATTCGATCTGTTTTAATATGTGTGTTAAGTGAAAATTGATCTAAGTATCAGGCTTCTGTAAATTCACAGGCATTTCTACTATACCCACTTTTTGGAATTCAACCACTGAGCTCAGAAAAAACAACCACCCGAAATACATTCACCTTGGCTAAAGCATCCATTATAATTTCAAGACTATAGGATACTTTTATCCCATGATTTTTGGCCAACTTAGGAGAAGTTATTTCGAAACAAAACTGTGTTGGAGAAAGTGAATATATTTACAGTTTATTTTTGACTAATTAAATCAACCCCAAGGTAAAATAATCATGGACAAAAGTGTATAATGAAGAGAACAGGAAAATGTAAACATTTTCACAGCTTCGTTCCTATCAAGTGAAGACTCTCAGCCATAGAGTTAGAGCTACATGCTCAGAAGAAGTAATTGAAGAAGAATTAATGATACTTTGATCGAAAATGGCTATCCCGACAAATTTATCAAGAAACACGTGACAGAGAAAGCGGAAAAGGACTACTCACCATCCGTAAACAAAAAGCCTTTATACATACGACTGCAATTCAAAGACAATATACCTAGCGAAATAATTACGAAGTACTCCCAGGTTTTCCAATGGTTCACCAACTGATGTCAGCTCATGATGAAATCCTGTAACCAATCAACCAAATCCCTAAAAACCAATACTTAAATTACGAAGAAGTTAAAAAAATCAGTTCAAAGAAATTTCAATGCTAGCAAACTACGAGTCTTATTTTCTACACGATCGATGTTGATTCCTTGATTGAAAGATGAAGTACCTGGACTAGCCACTTCCAACTGTATCTACCAATTCAACTGCGTTTCTGTAGCAAGTTATATCGGCCGTTGCTCTAGGAACTTGATTTTTTGTGGTCGAGAACATCTCCCAGTATGGCTAATTAAAGGTGTAGTAAAAAAACCCATCAACAGTTCGATATTGGACCATCTGGTCCAAACCGAACACAAAGCCAGCCAGCGTGGAAGAATCCTTCTCCATCATCTACCGGGTGCCTAATAAATTGCCAAAATCATCGAAGCACCGCATACTCCAAACACTTGAGGCTATTGCAATTCGCCTCAAACAACCAGTGCTCTGTGTTCAAAAGAAGCAAGACCAGCTAGCCCTTACTACCGCCCTGGTCGGCCTTCAGTAGAGACTATAAATTCATGAATTTGTAAGACTATAATTCCTAATTTTTCTGACATTCAGCTTATATTGTTATGTTGATGCTATTCAGCTGTAATCTGTCAATATTATTGATTCGATGTTATTTAAACAGTAACATTGATGTTGTTCATAACACTAATTCATTTATTCACTATAATGTATATATAACTGTAGAGCCTGATGATGAAGGGGTTATCGAAAAGAGTACTCCTTGTTCAGTATTCATTCTTTATAAAAATAAGTGAAGACTTTCAGAAATTGGATAGTGATGATGATAACGATGATGAGTTATTAGATCTCCAGAATGATAAACCATTTTGAGCTATGCGTAATAAACAGGTTCATGCGTAGGTTAATGCATCAGAATGCATAATATATGTTATAAGCATCTGAGTCACTAAAGTTTCGGGCTTACAGATGGACTTCCCCTAGCAAACTAACACCTACTGAACAATAACTAAATGATAGGAAACGGCTTATTGGCTCGAACGCTGGACTTACAAATCAACCCATCCGGGGGTTTGAGTCCTGCTCCACCAAATTCAACCTAGGCCTTATCATCTGTCCTTACATAAGTAAGGTGTGATTCATACTCTGATAGATACATGGAAAATCTATTCCACATGAATGCTGTCAAACATCAATCTGGCAATATAACTTCACTGCAACTATTAACCGAACAACAGAAGGGAACACATACAACCAACCACTCCCCAACCATATTCACGGCTTTAATTAACAATGTCCCCAAAATATAATAATAATAATAAATATTATTATTACTTTTTTAATTATTATTCCCTGGCGTTCCAAGTGCAAATAGGGTTTCAACAGCACACTTCCACTTTGTTCTGTTTTCTGTTGTCCTCTTCAGCTGGGTCTACAATTGACCAAACTCTCTCATCTCTTCCTCACACGATCTCCTCCGTGTCACTCTAGCACTGACGACCCACTAGTCACTTCCCATTGGAATTCCACTCGAGCAATGACCTGGCGTGTGATTTCATTCGGCGGCCTCCTCAATGTATCCTCGATCCATCTCCACTTTATTCTACATATTTTTTGAGCAATTGGCTCTCAGTTGGTTTGTTCCCAACCAGAGTTTTTTGTTACTAGTTCTTTCTGGCCATTTGATCTTCAGTATGGAGCGAGAGAAGGCAGCAGCTGTTGATGAAAGTCTACAACCTGTTGGAAATCTTTTTGACGACTCGCAGCACAAGTTTCTGACCCGCATACAAGAACTGACTTGACATTGGTGTTGAAAATGCGAATCTTTTTCTTTATGCTGAGTGCGGGAGATTTCCAAACTGGTTTCGGGTTGATGAAGGCGTATCTTGCCTTTCCAATTCTGACTTTGACACCTTCATCCGTTCCACCTGTAGGTGAGACGATGCTTCCCAGATAAGTGAAGGAGGTAACCTCTGTTAAATCTCTCCCGTTGATGGTGATTGGTTCGTGGCAACTCGAACTGCTGCACTTCGGTGCCAAGTTCTATGTTGAATCCAGACAGACAGACAGGTGATTGGTTATCTTCATCACCTCTGTCTTCTCTGTGTTCACCTGCAGTCCTGTTTTCGCTGCCTCTTCAGCCAGTTTGTTGGTTTTCGCCTGTAAGTCTTCGAGTTTGTGTGAGATTAGACATACATACATTAAACATGAAGATATTTCAATTGTCCAGTAGTTTGTGTAAGATGACTGATAATAACCACTTTGATTAATCTAAACATTACATTACATAATCAAGAAATAATTGATTATTAAACATGAAAAAAGAGTAAAAATATAAACCTACCTCAGTAAGAAACATATCTACAATATGAAAGACAACATTCAAAGGGAATTTAGCTGTGAATAGAGTTAAAAACCATTGACTAGCAAACATATGCGTTTCTAAGCCAAGATCAGCAAAATGCTTTGAAACATCCGGTAATTGATCCTGAAAGGGAAATATAATATAATAAACGAAAACTAGTTTTTAATTGATTAACCAACTTAAACACTTAAGGATAGTTGTAAACAGATTAACGCTGAAGAATCAATACATTTTAGTCCGTTACCAAAAGCATCAGTAGTACGTCAAGTGAAATACATGATACAGCTATTGAACAATTCATTTGAAATCTAAAAGCTTGAAATTATCGACATGTGTCAATTCAACACACACACACACAACAACCGTCAACAACTAGCTCTGACAAGCCGGTTACAAAGCAAGCTCGTATACCATTTAGCCTCTGGGATTGGCAGAAATATGAGAATACAAATAACTGAAATTCATTTTATTGGCAGAATCGTGACATTGTGAGCCTTGTGAGTTTGATCCGTTGTGAAGTTGTCGCCACATGTACTCAGTTGAAAAGTCGAAAATTACGAGCAACTAGTTGTTAATTCTTTCTAATAAAGAAAAATCCCCATTTAGACATTTAGAAAACAGAAAGATTGAGCGAAGACATATTTACTTTTCAATTAGATCCTCACCTCTGGCTCTACTCTAATATATATAGCATTTTAATTACAATAAAGCAGTTTGCCAGTCAAGTGGCGATAAGTTTGTTAACAATAATTAAACAGTGTCAATGGGTTAATAGTTAACGAAGAAAATCAATACAGATTTAAAAGGTGGAAATAGATAGAATAAATTAATTTTACAAGAATAACACGTAAATTAAAGATAAAGTGGTCAAAATAAATAAAATAAATAATTTAGACAAATAAAATTTTATAGGTTTAGGGGGAGGGGGCGACGCAGTTTATCCTGTTTATCCATTCTTGTGACGATGGCCACGGTAGGGAAAGTGGCTGTACAAATTTCTTCTGTACACATAGGCTTGGTTTCTTCAGGTGAATGCCAATCGCCTCAGCCGTCTGTAGAAGACGAACTCGCAGAGCAAAATTAAGATAAGTCAGAATGCGATAAATAATTTTAAATGCTGTATTAACATCAATCTTATGCTCAGTATCAACGAGGTGGGCTAAAATAGAGCTACGAATAGATCACTTTTGTCCCTTACTTAACCACGTTGGATGATGTTCGGAAATACGACGATGAACTTGCCTAATTGTACGCTCAATGTACAAACAAACCTATTTTATGTTCGAGAAATAAGGATAAACTACCTAAACACGCCTCCTCTATGTGTATCTACCAGTTTGACTGCAGCAGCGGGGCCAACTACATTGTACAGCCACTTTCCCTACCGTGGCCATCGTCACAAGAATGGATAAACAGGACTGCGTCGCCCCCCTCCCCCTAAACCTTTTACGGTATGAAGTTGCTAGCCTCACACGTTCAACCTTCTCTGTTTATCTGGTTTATTACTGGCTAAGCGAGATTTAAGAGTGCGTTGACCGGGAATCGAACCCAGACCACAAAGGTGATTGGCAAGCATTCCGATCATTGAATCACGGACGCACGTACCTGATTAAAGAATGGATAGTATTGGTGACCTTAGTTGCCAAGGAAAATAAAAACTCAACAAAGTCATTTGTATTATTTACCGGCCATGAATCACAGTGATTATAGTAGATTTTGAAAAAAAAAACCTACAATAAACAATGCACTAACACGATACTAAGTTTTGCATAGATCAACTTATAGTTTTCTAACATGTTAATTTACAACTGACTAATGTAAAAACAACAACAGAAAAATGACCAGATCTATTTGAGATGAAGATCAACTTGACAGTGTCAGTAATCTGGCACACTTGTGACACACTTCTTCAATGAATGACAGAAGTCAATAAAGCAGTTATTCTATACACGGGAGTTCTTGGTGTAGTGAAAACCAAAAACTTCTCCAATAAACAAGATCACTTGAGGGGGCTTTTTTATACAGCTTGTACAGAGAAAGAATAGCTTTACATAAAATTACAGAAGAAAACTCTAGTAAAAAAAATGAAATAGATGCATCATTGATAAAAATTATAGCTGAAGATTAAAATAGGCAGATTTATCTAACGAAATTAGCAGAGTAAAAGTAGCCTGACATATGACACTTCACAAATTCCTAGTGTTTTGGAAAATATTATCTTTCACGTGGATGGATATGTTGAAGTATTCCTCGATAACTCAGATACATAATTAAGTATAAGCACATCTCATGTAACACGACATTGTTAGATGTGCTTAGAAATAGGCATTAAGCGTACTCATAAGGATTACATGGATAGATATAAAAGGTGTGACAAATTCTCGAGTGTTAAAAAAGCTCATACGGTGTGCAACACACTTCAATCGTTCTCTAACTGATATCAATCCGTGATCAACTCGTAAAGAAAAAAAAAGCATATCTAACCCTTACAAACCAAACTATAGAAAATTAATTTGATGCTCGCTAGTAACTTGCTACAGGATGGAGTTTCCTGGAGTCAGTTCTACTGAGACGTCGTGACCAGTGAGGTCCAATTAGATGTCACGTGTGTGGATGGATGTCCCAGCAACGACAATGGTTGGGGTCGCACTAAATCGCGAGTGAATTGGCGATTGGATTGGCTCCCAATGGCTGAATGGTATACGAACTCGCTGGCCTTGTAACCGGAAGGTCCTGGGTTCGAACCCTTGTCAGTGGGTGCGTACTTCCGATGATTCCCAAAACTAGGATGAAACAGCTGTGGCTGGTTTTCAATGGTTCTCTAACTGATATCAATCCGTGATCAACTCATTAAAAAAATGCTTAATAAAAATTACGAAATTGTGTACCTGAATTAGATTTTAATTCGTTAATCAACTAAGTGTACGCTTTACAATCGATCTACTGAATACTCACTATTGACGTCAAAGAGATATAATGAAAAACCATGCATATAAAAATCAAACAGATTACTACCCAACACTACAAAGCCACTTTCCCCTGAATATATAACTAGAGAATATCCCTAAAAGTAAACTACTATCGATATTATTATTTTTCCATTGGGTTCTGAATAAGACGTGGAACCTGAACAACACATCTCCACTTTATCCTATTCTCTGTTGTCCTCTTTATCTACCTCCACGATTGCCAGTGGTCTCTAACTTCCTCCTCCTCACGCAGTCTTTTCCATGTCACACTCAGACCAACGCTCAACTCGTTGTTTCCCACTCGGGTTACACTCAAGTACTGGCTAGGGGCACGATGCTATTCGACTGCCTCCTCCTCAGAGTGTGTCCAACCCACCTCCGTTTTCTTAGGAATATTTCTTGAGTAATAGGTTCTTGGTTGATTCGTTCCCAGAGTCTCTTGTTACTAATTCTTTCTGTGCGTTGGTGGCATAGCGGTTAGGACGCTCGTCAACCATGCACATGGTCCGGGGTTCGATCCCTGACCAGCGCACTCCTTTGCCCCACTCAGCCAGAAGTAAAAAGCTGGTGAAGAGGAAAGGTTGCGCATGAGGTTAGCAACCCCACCCTGTAAAAATAAACACTGCTACAGAAACTTCAAGCTCCTAGCTTGAAGCCCTATGTTCCACTGCGAACGTGAAGGGAGAAAAAATTCTTTTTGACCATTTGACCTTCAAACATGGAGCCCGTGAGGGCAGTTTTTGATAAAAGTTTGCAGTAACGTGTTGGAAATGCTTTTCGTGATACACAGATCAATTCTCCTGATCCATATAGAAGCAGACACTGACTTTATGATGGTGTTCAAAATGCGAATCTTGTTCTTTATGCTGCGAAGTGCAAAAGACTTCCAAACTGTGACGAACGGCTTTCTTCCCTAATTCAAGAAGCAAGCTCTTGGAAACTATTATTTATCTGATGCAGCACCATAAAAACTGAAGTCGGATATAACAAAGAATGAAATTAGGTATTTGCACAGTTCCAGGTAAAAATTCACCGCAGTTTCCACTGCAAACTGATCTGATTGGTACTACGACGAATGGCAACCAAGAAATCAAGTATTTTATTTTATTTATTTTTTATTACAGCTTGATTCCACACCGTACTTTTAGTACAAGTATGGAGTTTTCAGTATGGATAACGGTACCCCAAATTTTACAGGCCGACCATAGATATCAGGTGTGCGTCGGCAGGGGATTGAACGTCGGACCATGTGCATGGTCGGCGAGAGTCCTAACCACTGTACCACCGACGCACCTAAAATATAAATAATATAAATACATACTGCTACATACTACTGATTGACTGATATTAGTGGTAGCATACCCCTCGCATTCACCACTAGCGCCATTTAGCCAGATAGTAGTTATCCAAAACACTAGATGGCTATATCTTAGGTGATTTGAGCTCATTCGGTTCACTGAGCTGAATCAAACCGCCAATCATCTCGTTCGCAAACGAGGCAAGCGGTAGTCCACATGTTTAGATCACTTCGATATGGGGCTAGCAAGCACTACTGGTTGATATGAGTAGCAACCAACTCACCCATATTAATCAATCAGTAAGTGTACAGTACATGGCATCATAAAAACAAACCATATAATTTTGAGCGAAATATTTTTGCCTTAAAAAAACCCACTTGTGTTTTTCCCTACCTGGATAATACGTTGTAATTGATACAGTCGCATGTGTAGACCATCGAAATCATTTAGGAAAAATTCTCTTACACCATAATTATTGTTCACTTGAACTAATAACGTGAATGCTTGTTCTACAGGCATCTAAAAATATTTAAAAAAATAATTATTATGTATGGTTAAATAAGAATTGAAAATATTACTTTCTAAAGAAGGAAACATTTAAAGTTTTGTTTTAACGAGTTGATCACGGATTGATATCAGTTAGAGAACCATTGAAAACCAGCAAGGAGTACTGGACAGCTGCTGTTTCATCCTAGTTCTTTTGGGAATCATAGGCAGTAAGCACCCACCAACAGGGTTCTAACCCAGGACCTTCCGGTTACAAGGCCAGCGAGCTCGTATACCATTTAGCCACTGTGACCCGATTCAATGGCTCATGAATTTTAACTTCTACTGATTCGTGATTTAGCACGACCCCAGTGGGTGCGTACTGCCGATGATTCCCAAAACTAGGATGAGACAGCTGTCCAGTACTCCAGTGCTGATTTTCAATGGTTCTCTAGCTGATATCAATTAGTGATCATCTCTTGAAAACAAAACTAACCCTGACAAACCAAACTAAAGAAAACATTTAAAGTTTGCTTAACTTGATCCATTCGCTGAACATAAAACAGCAACGCGTACATATAACAAGAAGGAGAGGGAGAGGGAGAGAGATAGAATATGCCAGACACTAACATCCCTCTAAATTTACATCAGTCTAACAGGAATACACAAAGTAAAACATTGGTATGAGATGATTAATTTTGAGAAATATTCAAAAATTCTTCATTTATATGACACACTTTTATTGCCACGTGAATCAAACAGCTGACAAAGTATATGATTGATTAAGTAGTCGAAATCAAGTTGATTTATTTCTTAACATGAACTAGTGGGCTGATTAAAATGCTTACTAATAATGACTGTTGGAACAAACATCCCTACTGGTTTATCTATTGTATACTTAGACTTTATAAAATTTTCCAATGTAAATCCTAAGTACTCATCACGCATAGACCTATTGAATGACTATGAGAAAATTGTATGCATGCAAGTCAATTATTTCGACCGATAGCTATTTAGTTTGACGTGGTGGTATATCGCGATGATCCGAATGGCTACACTGGTTGAAACGGATGTTCCTGAAGGTTCCACAATGTCGTTACGATCGTTTGGACAGAGGTTAGACTAGAAGCAGTCACTAACAAATAATAGGGAAGTAACATTAGTAAGGGGTTTCTCTCTTGAACAACCAACAAGCCAACTATGCTGCCTGTCTGCTCTGGGGATAGAGGTTAGAAACTGTCGACTCCGGAAATTATACATCTCGACATAGATTGTGACGGTTTGTATTCTGTGGAATGAACTCTAAAAGGCCATATGCACCCGGCATCAAGTTAGTTGTCCCCAGTGCTCTGTGATCACGCAACACTAATGTTGCTACTTTTTCAGCTACCCCCCAAAAAGAAATCAACTTCTACGGTAGAGGCATCCAGGAAGTAATATGAGTGTTTCATGAGGTTCAAATCAAGGATTAAAAACAGTGTCATTGAAATCGCATCACTTATCGTCTTTTGTTTTGTGTATTCCATAGTTGAGAATAACAATCAAAGTGATTATTTGCATTATGTATGTAGCAGAATCGGAATTCATCTGTAAAACATTGATTTTTCAAAGCCGGAAAATACTTCTATTTTTCTGATTCGCCTTGTGTTTTTGACAAAGAGTAAATGTATCTGCGGTAATGAGAAGAGTTTTGAGCCATATCACCAGTAGTCTCCAGTCACTGGTTCTTAGAATCCCAAGGATCCCAAACCAGATAATCTCTACCTTCTATGTGGCTCTGAACAACAATCAAAGACCTCATGGATTGATCCTAAGTTTTGATTCGATCCCCCCTAACCCTTTTTCAACACAACCCTATGCCAGCTAACACGACTCGAGGAGAAAGACAAGGGCTCGGAATGTGTACTACGTGTCCTAGCTGTCCTAATCAATGTAGCATCAAAACCTTAGGGATTTACTTTCCTTCATAACCCAACACTTTACGTCTAACCCTAATATTACTCACCATTTAAAAACTAGACAGCAGAAAAAATGTGATTTTCTGTCACTGAAAGCGTATGCAACATTTTAACTTACATGAAGTAGTAATACAGCAGCAAAAAATGTTAATCCTTGACAGTAGCCAACTTCTTCATCGTATAAAGCATAAGCGCGGCTAACTAGGAAAAGGCTTTCTTGACCAATTTTATCACGGAAAAAACTATGAGCTGGGAATGTACGCGCTAGATCACGACGTATAACATCATCATGTTTACAAGGCTAAATGAAAAAAATTAACAGCATTTGTTTAAATAAACAATTTAAATGTATATATGACTAGAGAAAACACGAACTCTCGAAGACTTTAGGTCTACAGCATCCGAAAACGTTAAAGGAAACTCACAAATAGTAAGACAGTGAAATAAAACCCAAGTGAACACAATGAATACAATCTGTCTGTTTTCCACATAGAACTTTGCACTGATGTGCGGCAGTTCAAGTCGCCACACTCCATGTAGCACACAAAACAAGAGAGAAAAGTAGAAGAAATGCATATTAGACAGTAAACAGAGGTGTGAGACAAAAGGAGAAGTAATAACGAAGAACAATATAGTTTCATTGGAAACCATAAGTCACAGGGAGTGGATACATCTGCGCCATTGAAAACGATTTTGAGATATATCACCAATTGTCTCCAGTCATTGGTTTTTACCGTCCCGAGGACCCCAACCAGACGGGAAGTCTACACCTTCCTATGTGGCTGACTGGCTTAAACTAACTGTTGTGGATTTCATTGACTGATGAAACCATGTTTTGGTTTGACCACTGCTGGCTCTTTTCCAAGGTGATGCATCCTATGTCAGTCAGCTGATATCGCCCGTCGAGGAAGGCGATGACTAGGCTAGGCATACGTAACACATGTCCTAACCATCTCAGTCGATGTAATTTCACAGCCTCGTCGATTGATTTCCCATCCCACCTACCTAGCACTCGACCGACGCCTAACCTCAATATTGCTCACCTTATTAAACCACTTCACACGGGAGATAGAGCGCGGGCACCTATGATCAAAGACAGCTAATCTTTTCATGTCTTCCACTCTCAATGGCCAGGTCTCACAGCCATAAATGCAGCCAATGAATACAATACATAAATTGGCCTGAAACATTCAACAAATATAAGGAAGAATGAATTTTTAACCATCCTTTAACTGATTTTGATGTACTAACTACTTATAGAAGTGAGTCAGGGGGTCCAACGGTAGAATTCTCTCCAACTAAGCACGTGCTACGAGTTCAACTCCCAGCCGACTCACTTCTAAACCTAACTTAAGCTGGTAGCAGCCCGGTAAAAAGATTATGCCGAGCGTGTGGCTAATAACCCCACCATGAGAAAACAATACCACCACTACTGTAACTTCAATGCTAAAGCAGAAAGCCCTATATTCTACCCGGAATGCAAAGAAATGAAAAGAAGAAAAACAATTCGTAGAAATATAGAACAGTCCAGAAATTATGACCAATACGTACGTAAAAGTAAGAAATGATCCTCAAGATGAAATCGTATACATGAACTGGATACTCATCATCTTCAGAATTAGACGTATTTTTTAAAAACCATCACTGTATTACACTTTTTCACTGTCCACTTATGTTCCTCTATCATGCTGTTATATTAAAAGCAATGCAACAACAAAATATGATTAAGTGACACTGAGAAGTACTGTCAGTGATAAGTACCTAACAAATCCAAAAATGACGTTTTTGTGTTTGAGGGGATTTGACCAATCTCAAAACAGACCGATATCAGCTGAAAACACGGTTTGTTTCAAGTTTGGCTAAGGATTCCCGTTAGATAGAGAACCATTGAAAACTATGGAGTACTGAACAGCTGTTCCGAGTGTTCGAACTCAGGAGCATCTGGTTACAAGGTGAGCTCGTTGACTATTCAACCACTGGTACCTGACTCAGTGGCCAGTCCATAAATTCTACATTGGAAGGGCGGAAAGAAGGGCTTCTATCCGGTTTTCCAAACATATTCCAATAAACCTGTGCCTGAAAGGAAGCAAATATTCTCAGAGTGCAATTACCGGATATATTGTTGATACTGGTCATCTCGTAGAGATTTCTAAGTCCTTCAAAAGGACAGAAAATTTACTACGATTTGCCGAAGCGATCGCAATCAAACGATTCAAACCAACTAGACCTATGCATACAGAAAGACAATGTGATTAACCTCTCACTAGCTTGTTAACTGAATTTTGACTACATTAATTAGTCATCTAATTCAGTGATCTCAACTCACTGAGCGAATTTTAATCTTATACACTGTAACCGCTTTTGTTTTTTAAGTTGGTATATGAACCTAAAAGCTAAAACTGATTCCTAATTTTTTGTTTTCTGTCTTACCCCTCCCCCCTCTTTTCTACTTTGAAATTGTATAAATTGATGATGAAAACTAAAACAGCAAACAATTGTAATCCATACATTTTGGATTCGTCAATTTTATAGTATTTCTTCTCTACTACCACTTAAACATTGAAGAATTTTATTATCGTCTGTATAACCATTGGAATTTTCAGGTAGTCTGCAGCTGATGAGAACCTGTGAAGTAGCATGCTATCATTTTATACTGCAAATCTGACCTTTCTTTCTCTATCGAAATTTATCAAGGGAACCAAATGAATGAATTCTAACTTTAGTGCAACCACAAGCCAATGTTATCAGTGAGTAATTATCCTCACTCCCGACCGCGTGGACCCCATCGGTCACGACTTCTCAGTAGAACTCCACGCATCTTTGTCTTGTAGCCAGTTATTAGCGTCCATCATACTAACTTTCAAGAGTTAGTTTGTAGGGACTTGATTTGTTTCAAGTTTGATTAAGGATTGGTATCAGTTAGAGAACAAACAAAATTCAAGGATTATTGGACAGCTGTTTCATCTTAGTTTGAGAGGTCGTGACCAGTGAGAATCACCAGGTCGAGTGTGAAGACAAATACTAGCCGAAGACATTGGCTGATGGTGGCGATAGGGTCGTGAATTGAAAGAAGTTAGAATTCACTGGATTCTGACTCAAATGGCTAAATGGGTGTTTCACAACTTGAAGAAGCTGGCTTCAAACCCTGACGGCAGGGTCATGATTGCATGCTGATGCAGAGTCCTAAACCAGGACGAAACAGTTATCCGATACTACCTGGTTTTCAATAGCTCTCTAATTGAAATCAATTCGTCGTCGAATTTTAAACAAATCAAATCCCTACAAACTAACTGTTGTAAAAAAATAATTGTAATAGACAAAGGAACGCATATAACTATTGCATCACAGTTTGACACTCTTTATTACTTCGCCCATAAAAGGTTACAGGTTATAGAGTTAGTGCCTTTTTATTTAATTCTGTAGTCCGAAGAAAATGAACTATTCTTGTTTCTTTTCTCACTAGGTTCTAAATTGTTAAGAAACAAACAGCACTGGATAACTACGTTCTTCACATTTATCAGATGATAGTCGTTCCACATCAGTGACTGTCACAAGTTAGAAAGCCGAAGTAAGTAATGTGCTCATGTCGGGTTCTTGACTCAGCTTCATACAGAGCTCACATTAACAATGGGTGATATACTACTACGATATTAGGGCTATTCAGTGCTTCTAGAATAATAGTAGTTCTGTGGTGGGAGCTGGCTGCCAGCCAAATTGGTAGACAGTAATTTACGTCAGTGTTTACGTCCCCAATATTGCTCGTGAGAAAAATAAGAAAATGACTGATTCAACAACCAACTACAGCAGACTTGGCGTAGGCGGTTACAGTGAGCACATAGATGATATGACATTCAAGAAAAAGCCACAAAGAGATGAAAGATTAACTTTCAGTGAGAAACAACCAATCAGAAGACTGTGTTTTCTTCTAACAATAATCATAGTGAAAATGAAAATCTATAAATATGTGTTGCTTTCCTTAAGAAACGATCTGTTTCCTGGCCCTTGTCTTCTTTCTGTTGTTACAGTTCTACAGCGGATTTCAAGTGGTGGTGAAATCCACTCTTCGTCTTTCGCTTTGTTTTCTGTAATACTGTAGCAGGAATCGACGTAGGAATTGTGCTAAATCACGAATCAGTAGAAGTTAAAATTCATGAGCCATTGAATCGGGTCACAGTGGCTAAATGGTATACGAGCTCGCTGGCCTTGTAACCGGAAGGTCCTGCGTTAGAACCCTGTTGGTGGGTGCGTACTTCCGATGATTCCCAAAAGAACTAGGATGAAACAGCAGCTATCCAGTACTCCTTGCTGGTTTTCAATGGTTCTCTAACTGATATCAATCTGTGATCAACTCGTAAAATATAAGATAAAAACAGTGACATTAAATTTATTATCACTGTCTTGCTATGAATCTAATCTTGAAAAATCAAACTTTTTGGACAGTTTAGCTAACGATAGTAACATAAAACCTACTGAATGTTACTACAGATATATGTGGTTGTATATAGACGAACAGACATGCATATAATTTCGCTTTTTAAAAAGAAACAAACCTAGTTGTTTATCAGTTAGTCTACTTTCTGGAATATTGATTTTTATCACCGAATCAATCAGCATACAAACAGAAATTGGACAACAAACAAAGTATAACAAATATACACTTGGAAAAATAAATATTAAGGGGATATTCGACTAACAACTACAACGCAAAGCATTGGTTGGATAAAAAAGGTAATATTTCAAATCGATTGAAGTAACAAGTTGGAATGAACGCTTCTCAACTAAACAAATAGTTAGGATTAGAACCTTAGTTATTCGGAATAGACCTTTCACGTATCGGTGTCTATAAGCCACAAGTATTACACGGAGGCTAATGATGCTAACAAGATACTAAGCAGCTGAAGTGAATGCAGTTGGATTTGAACCCGAAGACTATTCAATGAAAAACAAGCACTTGGGACAATGAGATACAGTAGTATTTATTCAAAAGCAATACAAATCTACAGAGTATTAATTAGAAAGTATACTTCTATCCTCGCAAGCCAGAGACGCTCGCCTAGCAAAGTCTCCAGTTTATCGCTCCCTCAGGCGCAAAGCTACACAGTCTGCTAGGAACGACAGAAATCGCTATTGGTCTAACGTGGCGACTAACATGGAAGCAGCATCAAATGTAGGCGATTTCGGAAAACTTTATCGCCTCTTACGCCAATCATCTGGCAAACGCCTTAACAGTCATGCTGTGTTACGCACAGCATCAGGAGAAATTATTTCGGACACCAATGGTAAGATGGAACGATGGGCCGA